CACACACACCTATTGCTGTAGTGCCTATGGTTCAGCCCCTTCCTGTGACCTGTGTAGTTACCTGTAATCATGCCCCCTAAGTAGATATAAGCCTGGGTTAGGTAAGTGTTGGGACCAATAAATAGATGCACCTCGCCTTGCTCTCCTGTCCTCGGCCCATGCTGTGTGCCTACCTGACTGGTAAGATCATGGCCGTCCAGGAGGTGAGCATGCTACCATGAAATGTGTCAGACTCCATTATTTCAATCTCTTATCTCTCATGCTCTCTATGACCTTATTATAATCCTTATGTATCTTAACCATACAGTGTGCTTACTGAACCCATGATTAGTTGTGGGGGACTGGCCTTCCACCCCACAGATGTCCTTCTCTAGGGACTGGTCTCTCCTGGAAAAATGTGGGAACAAAAGTATGACAAGTCATAGAGGCCAGTCCCACAGCTGAGAGAATTCTAGTGGTCATCATGTTCAGCTAGTCTGCCTTCCATGATCTGCAAATGTGAAAAAAATCTTAGAATGGCCCATCTCAAAGCCTGGTGTGGAAGTCCTAGGATCCTAACACAGTTTAACAGTCAAATGCATTGAAGTTCAATCAACTTATAAGAAAATTGGAACCTAAATACATTTTCCCAATCAGCAAAAAGAAGGACATGCTATTATGATACTGCACATATTGTGTTCTTTTGTCAGTATATCCTATGAGCTTAGAGTGTATTTAGGTGCATATCCAGTACTTTTTTAGGGAAGCAGTCCATAATAATTATATTACAGTAGCTTTGTGTCTCAGAGTGGGAAAATTTTGAGGATATATATATATACTATTGTTACCTTTCACTCTTGCCCTGTTTCCCTTTTCAATAGCTTGGCCTATCTCCACAAAGGTACAAAATACACAAGAGTGCAACTGTAGAGTGACTGCAAAGTAGGCGAGTAACACAGAAACACTACAGAAAATTTCATAATTCCCCAAATAATCATCTCTTTCAGTAGGTAATATGTAAGCTCTTGATCACGTATAATTCTCCAAGAGGATGCCATGAATCCAGGGCTTTGGTTGCCACTTTGCTAGTTCATACCTGTCACTCTCCAATGGCTCAGGAGGGGCTACAGGGAGAAGCACAAATTCTGCAGTGTTTCCTAGTTATCTTGCTTTCACCCTGTGCTTCATGTTTTGATAAATATTCCGGTTGGTTCTGTGCAAGGAGGTGAATTTCTCCCCTCCCTCCAATGGAAGAGAGGATGTGAATGTGGAATCGAGGCTTTTATTTTTGATCATTTGTCTGATTTATATTACGTGTTCTGACTGTTCTCTATTCTGAACCACATAGAGAGGACTAAGGTTGCAGTTGGTCACGGACAAACTGTACAGAGATAAACTCATGCTAGAAGAATGCAGTCGTTGGGATAGCATGTAATTAGTGAGGAAGTATGTTTAGTGCAGTGGTTCTCAACCTTCTTAATGCCGTGACCCTTTAATACAGTTCCTCATGTGTGGTCACCCTCCAACCATAAAATTATTTTTGTTACTACTTCATTACTGTAATTTTGCTACTGTTATGAATCGGGTGACCCCTGTGAAAGGGTCCTTTGACCCCCAAAGGGCTCACAACCCACAGGTTGAGAACCGCTGGTCTAGTGGGTGAAGGGATGAGGCTGGTAACTAAACCCTGATGGTGATCCTTAGTAGAACAAGACCCCTGTGTCTAATCCCTGTGTGAAGTCTGTTTCCCAGGACTGTGATCTTCATCCTTTCACATAGTGGAGTGCATAGTACCTTGCTGAACCAGAATATATGTTATGTTTTAGGACACTGTGGCTGTTGAAGAGGTGGCTGTGGACTTCTCCTAGGATGAATGGGCATTGCTGCATCCTAGACATTTGATGATGGAAACTTTTTGAAACCTGGCCTCAGTAGGTATGAATACTTTCATTAAAAAAGAAAATGTGTGTGTGTGTGTGTGTGTGTGTGTGTGTGTGAGAGAGAGAGAGAGAGAGAGAGAGAGAGAGAGAGAGATACTCATTGACGCTACTGCAGTATGTGGGCTGAGTAATGGGAGTACTTTGTTATATAAACAATTGTAATTTCCTCTCAAGAGAATGCATGTCATGCTTCCCTCATGAATATAAAGCTCTTAGTGTTATACTAACTTCTTCTATCAAGTGTGACTGTGAGTCCAAGTTTCCTTACGTGTTATAAATGTGAGTATTGATGTTTGGTGCAGAGAATATGTGTGTGTTGTGCCTGGTAAGTGCTCTTTTTTTTTTACAAGGTTAACATGATATTTTTGTTATAAATAGATTTATACTGACCCAAAATCCACAGAACTAGAGGAACATAGGCTTGTCTCGGTATCAGAGAATTGTTGATTATCTTTTCAGACTTTACTTGTGAGGTGTCTTTCTACAAGAGCAGCATGTAAGATACACTTTACGCCCTCACAGGACACTAATGTGATGAGGACCTGCCTTAGGCTGGGTTGTCTATAAAAATAAAATTATAGACACTGACATATGCATAAGAAAGAGTTTCATATCAAGAAGTAAACTTTTATCAGGAGAAAGTCCCAGCCCAGTCCAACTGAAGCCCATGGGTCCAATGCTAGGTGTAGCATCCATGTTTCAGTGTGTTCAAGTGCCCAAACTTCAGTTTTTGGGTGAACATCAATCCTTTCTGCTGTCCAGCTTAATATATGTGTGTGTGTCATATACATATGTGTGTCTATATATGTAAATCCATACATGGTCACTCTTATATGTGCATAGAAATTTCTTGTTTTAGTTCATTAATTCATCAGATATGAGGACCTTCAACTACAGAAAACTACAGGACTCTAAATCCATGACTTTTATCACAAAATGGGTGGAAACAAATTCCCTGTTTCAGGGTTCTAATCTGAATAAGTTTGCACTTCCTTTTCTGTAAGATAAATGCTGTAATTTTGATCATGCTGTATTGTCTTTTATTTTTTTAAATTAAAACATTATATTAGGGACTTGTAAAACTTATCACAATCCAAACATCCATCCATTGTGCTAAGCACATTTGTGCATTTGTTGGCATCATCATTCTCAAAACATTTTCTTTCTACTTGAGCTTTTGGTATCAGCTTCTCATTTTTATTCCCCCCTCTCCCTCATGAACCCTTGATAATTTCTAAATTATTATTAATTTTTCATGTCTTACGCTGACAGATGTCTTCCTTCACCCACTTTTCTGTTGTCCATCACTCTGGGAGGGGATTATATGTAGATCTTTGTGTTCAGTTTCGCCTTTCTCCCCCCACCTTCCCTTTACCCTCCTGATTAGCAATTAATAGTGAGTTAAATACCAAAAGTTATTACTGTGTGTTGAAATATAGCCTACAATGTTTTTATATTTATTAGCTATTTATGGCATATCGTGAATATTTTATGGATACGATAACTAAATTATGATTAGGGGAATTTTTCTTTTTGGAAGCCTCTTCCTTAAAAAAATGTTAATCTCATTGCTGTAGTTAGAACATACAGTCAATTTTTAATATCACTGGTAAAAGTGGACATTTATGTTTGTCCTTTTTCTGAGATGGGGTGATGTTTTTCTCTTTTCGTTTATGTATGATATTTTCTCTTTTAGGACTGTATATTAGCATATTAACATACTGAACTAAATCTGTTTTATGTTAGATTTGTAGAGGGTTTTTTTTACCTTAGCATTAAAAGCCTTTGACTTTGTTTAGTATGTGTTATAGTGTGGGTACTTTAGAGAAACAAATCCACAGAAACTCATGAATAAAAGAGAGTTTTACATAAAGGGTAAGTGCGCATCAAGAAAACATCCCAACCCAGTGCTGCCCAAGCCCACAAGTCCAACATTAACCCATTAACCAATATGTCCAACACTAATCCACAAAGTCCTCCTCCATCTCACAAAACAGACACAGTGATGCCAACTGCAGGAGGGAAGCTGAGTCAGTGAATGTGTAAGCATCTCAGCACTAGCAGGGTTCTCCACTCGGATGCTCCAGCACCCAAGGCTGCATCCGGGTAGGCCCATGTGGCTTCTCAGGGATGTCTTGCAGGAAGTGACCCTTGCCAGCTAAAGCAGGGAACTGGCTGAGGTAGCTGCACCCTGGTCCCACCATCAGAAAGCAAGACACCTGAGAGCTAGAAAGGCGAGGCTCACCGGGCCATTTATCCCTCTGCCCTTCAATTAATCCCACATGTGTTTTTCGGCCAGGTTGGCACAATAAACTAACTCAGTATGTTTTATGTGTCTATTTAGATTATTAAATCTTTTTTTACATTAATTGGTATATTAAAATGCTTGTTTTCTTATGTTAAGTCAACGCTAGGATAGATTCCAATTAATCATCATATGTAATTATTTTAATGTGTTGCCCCACTCAAGTCCCAATATTTTCAAGAACTTTTTCATGTTCTTGAAATCCATTATCAATATTGCTCTACAGTTTTCTTGAAGTATCATTATCTCACTTTGTTAACAGGTGAGTAAGTGCACTCTCACAACCATTGTTATGTTTCACCCAATAACTTGAACTTAGACATAAAGCATACAGTGTTTATTCATACTGTGTGAATACTCTGGTGTTAGTTGCCAGAATCTTCAACTTTAATCTGTCTGACAGTTAGCCTTGAAGTTTCTCATGGAATTTAATTTTTATTCAGTTGTTTATAGACCTTCTGAGCATCCTGAAACCCACTCAACTCTCATAGATCACTTGCTCTGACTAGATCCTCTGGTCTTGCAGCTGACCCCTCATTGTAGAGTGATAAATGATTTACACTACTCTTGACAGACAAATAGTCACTCACACCTGAGACTATGGATAAGACATCCTTGAACCCAAGCCAATAACCCCTCTCCTACAGTGTGTGTTGTTTGCCATCTGTCAGCATTACCTAGATAGCTTGGAATCGAGAATCTAGGCCAAGGTGACAAAATGGTTGATCAGTCATCTCTTTCCTGGATCCATCTTGTACTTTTAAGCTTCGGCCCTCAACTTGGCTCTTAGCATCACCTATCTACCGAGGCCTTGCCATTCCTTGATTATAGGCTGCAGTCTTTCACAAAGGCTTTAAAATTGGACATCCGTAAACATAAGAGCTTAAGAGAGTAGCAAATAAGGATTCCCCTGGCTTGTTTTCTTGTTTAGGATATCTCTGTCTTGGCCAAGGTACCTCTAGGATGTCCTATTGGTGTTCCTCTGTCTCTTGTTATCCACCTCTAAAACAAGTTTCTCCACTTACCTCACTATTGTGCATAAATAGGCTACCCAACCATAGGCATTTCTTCACACACATAGATATTGTAAAGAATAAAGAGGATGCAAGGGGATTGGAGCAGGTTAAACTTGATGAAAAGCTCAGCATGGGTTGGAGTGGCATATATGAGCATGATTCAGCTTGATCACTTTAGCCAGATATGTCAAGGGTTATGGTCTGAGGTGCAGAACGGGCTGGTAAAACTATTCCTTTCTTCAGTTAGATTGCTGGTGAAAAGAAGATATTACCTTCAATGGAGCTTGAGAATTTTGAGGCCTTAAACACTTCCACGTTATTCTAAAGATAAATATTGTATATATAGGATGTGGATCCAAAGTTGATAATGATATTTGAGAAATTAGTAAAATTGCTCTGTAAAGATAGAATGGCCCCTGGTTTAATGCAAACACCCTCAGATTGGAGCATGGTTTTGATCCCAGGGGGGTGGGGGTGATCACTATTTAACACAAGAAGTACAGGCCAACAACCTGCCATGCCTTTCTCAACATTACCTTCTGTTTCAGATCAAAGATTTGCCACAGAGAAATAGGATCCAGTCTAGGGAGCTAGAAATCTGTTACTACTTTCTTGCACATTGAAGCATCATAAGGACGGTTTTCAACTTCTGACTGTGTTGTGAACCAAATCCGGTCACTTGACTCCAAACAGGGTGAGGAACTCTGGGATTCCTTGGGGCATCGCTGGGGGGAGGAGCTTGAGGGGAAGCAGGAGGGATCCGGGCTTCCGGGGGTCTGAACCCAGGAAAGTGCCAGTGTACAAGGGCCCAGGCTGCCCCAATGGTCAGGGTCCGAGCTCTTTGTGCATCTCCCTGCATGATAGAATTCACTAGTTATGTAACCGTTTATAATTGTATTAGAACTTAAATTTGCAAAAGGCTGGTGGCATAGTGGATACAGATTGGACGGCTAACTGCAAGGTCAGCGGTTCCTAACTGCAAGTCACCCCTGGGGAGAAAGGGTTTCCAATCTTGTAAAGAGTTATGATCTTGAAACCCACAAAGGGCTGTTCCACCTTCTTTTAAAGGTTGCTATAATCAGAATCCACCCGATGGCATGAATTCTTTCTGATCATTCACCAAGAATGTAGATCATCTTCCCCTTGAGGAGAATGAATGCCTTAGAAAATAGTTTGCCTACACTCCTTTCCAGCCAGCCCCCTCCAAGGGCCTGCCTAGATGTATCCTCGATGGAGCTCACCTTACTGACGACAGCACAGGGGCCATTGTCATGAGTCTGGCCTTGCCTGCTTTAGTTTGAAGGCCCTGGACCAATCTTGTAAGTCTTCCTATCTAATAATGTTTAGGTCCTAATTATGATCCCATTCCTGCTGCTACAATCCCACCTTTATCTGTGCTGTATTGATTTGCCATCAATCATGATCTGCGACATGCCTATTGTTCTATGTCCTATTTATCCAGAGTCCCGACTGTGAATCTTCATTTGCATTTTGACCTGCTAATGTCCTCCCTTATCCATATGATGTGTATGTGCCATTTTTTTGTCTCTTAAAGTTTAATAAATGTTCTCCTTAATTTATATTTGACAAAAGGGTCACTTTTTTACCCTAACACACAATTTAGGATCATAGATGACTCAAGGTACAGTTCTTTGGGACAGCACCTTGACAGCCATACCTGTAGGTAAGGTCCGGCCCTGCAATCCCCTGGCTTCTGTCCTAAATGTGCAAATTTTACAAAGGTCTTTAGTTCTGAGGATAAATGTTCACTCTGCCCCTTAGCCTCACACCAAACACACTCAGCTCTCTGTGGGTTGGCAAATCTAGTTGCTCAGCTAAGTACTCAAATGTTCACCACTTTACCTACTAACCTCCTGCCCAGAGGCACTGAGCTCCCTTGTTCTGCGGCCTGGGAATCCCACTACTCTGTCTCAGTCTCTTGGTTCTGCTGCCACCATGTCTCTGTTGCTGCTTCTCCCATCACTTCCTCTCTTGTGTCACAGCTCCCTGTTTTCTGGATTGAAGAGTTTCAATGCAAGAATCTAGGATCCAAAGGCCCCTACTCCTGGCTCTTCTTTTTTTTTTTTTAAATAATCTTTTTATTAGGGGCTCATACAACTCATCACAATCCGTACATATGTCATTTGTGTCCAGCACATTAGTACATATGTTGACGTCATCATTCCCACAACACCTGCTTTCCACTTGAGCCCTTTGTATCAGCTCCTCCTTTTTCCCCCTCCCTCGCCGGTCCCCCCCACTGAAACCTTGATAATTTATAAATTATTATTATTTTATCATATCTTACCCCATCCAATGTCTCCAT